TGCCCGCTGCCTGGGCCGCGCAGGCGCCCGCCTCCTGGCCAGATGGGCAGAGCCCCTCACCTTCCTCACTCTCCTTGGGGCACATTCTTCAAACATATTTCCACTCGGAAAAGTGACCTCTGCTCACCTTATCCAAACCAAAAGGCCACTTTGTAGATTTCATCTCTCTCTCTCTCTCTCTCTGTCTGTCTGTCTCTTTCTGTCTGCAGTTTTCAGGCTGTTGACTGGTCTCTGTCCCACCTCACACCCTGACTTTCCTCCTGTGTTTCCGGCTGCCCTCCCTTCAGACCCTCTTCCTGTCTGTTGAACACACCTGTTCCAGGTGCCCTTTATCCCGCATGTGGGGGAGCCCACGGGGGCTGCTCTGGCTGCCCTGTTAGAACCACCTCTGCTCCTTCGTGTGTGACCCTGACGGGTACCTGGTTCCTCTGGGCCCCAGTGCTCTCGCCCGGAGCAGGAGGATAGGAAGGGTAACTATCCCGTGTGGTTTTTACAAAAATCAAATGAGCTTTTGCGCTGAGGACCTGATACCAGGACTTGGTCGTAACAAACGCTGCCGTTATTAGGTCCTGCGGCATCTACGCAGGTCGCACGAGGCTGACACAGTCCTGGGGGGCGTCCGGCTGAATTTCGAGAAGGCGGAGACGGCGTCATAGACTCTGTGAGTAGGAAGGGAATTCAGAGACCTTAGCAACACCCTCTAATTTTAAAAAGGAGGGAATGGCCCTGGCCCGTTTGGCTCAGTGGATAAAAAGGCCACTTTGTAGATTTCATCTCTCTCTCTCTCTCTCTCTGTCTGTCTGTCTCTTTCTGTCTGCAGTTTTCAGGCTGTTGACTGGTCTCTGTCCCACCTCACACCCTGACTTTCCTCCTGTGTTTCCGGCTGCCCTCCCTTCAGACCCTCTTCCTGTCTGTTGAACACACCTGTTCCAGGTGCCCTTTATCCCGCATGTGGGGGAGCCCACGGGGGCTGCTCTGGCTGCCCTGTTAGAACCACCTCTGCTCCTTCGTGTGTGACCCTGACGGGTACCTGGTTCCTCTGGGCCCCAGTGCTCTCGCCCGGAGCAGGAGGATAGGAAGGGTAACTATCCCGTGTGGTTTTTACAAAAATCAAATGAGCTTTTGCGCTGAGGACCTGATACCAGGACTTGGTCGTAACAAACGCTGCCGTTATTAGGTCCTGCGGCATCTACGCAGATCGCACGAGGCTGAC